CATATTATTAAAATATCGGAAAATAAATTTAAGCTCCGTATTACGTACATGATTTTGGTGGCGATACTAGGTGGGTCAATCTAAAATGGAAAAAAGGATAAAAGTTTTAACATCTTAATGAACAATCATAAATATTTCATGCTAATTAACTTACAGCTTAAATGATTCCATCCTGAAAGTTTGTTATAATTTATTAATTATACATCATAGATTAAACGATAAAATGCAAAGGAATTTCAACAAACCTTCATATGAATATAATACCTATATTTGAATTTTATGCAAATTTTAAGCTTGAAATTCATAAACTTCATATATACATAACTTATATACCTTTAACAGAGCATTGCCATAACCTCCGATATATTCTGCTGGATGTGAAATGTTAGATGACGTATAATTAAAACTGTCATGCCAATTATTCGGTTCATTTGTTTTACATAAGCCAATAATAGCCAAAATAAATAGAGAAGCATATTTAAACAAGACTAATATTAGATTTATACAGATTGCATAGTTATCAGATTTTGTTTTAATAACTAAGCTGCGATATATAGTGATAATTCCCAACATAATGACTGATAGAAAACGTAATACACTATGAATTTGAATAAAAATTTATGTTAAAATGTTTAATGATTTTAAACAAATTATTATTACTTACATGAAATCTTTATCAAAATATGCACCAAAATCTTTTCCATAATGGTGAAATTCTTCATCATCAACTCCTCCGATTGCATAGAGTAAGTATTTAGATGCAATTAGAGAATTGGCTATAATTGCTCCGGGTATAATAATGCTTTAATTAAAATATAATTATATCAAGTGTGTTATATAATCTTAAGTCACGTAAACTTAAAGAAATCTACTCACTTGATCGTAGCGAAACCGAAAAAAAACCTTAATAATCGAGATCCGAATGTAAACCCATATGCTAGAGACTCCAGTTGTTTTTTTTCCATTAATCTCCAAACAAAAAAACTATATAGGTTAATAAAACCACCAACAATCCAAAGAATTAAAGCGGCCCCTGGCGACTGAACAAGTCTCCAAATGCTACCAGGCGTTATGAATATTCCTTTTAAGAATATAAAAGCAATAATGAATCTTGCAAAATTAAATTAAAAACTTAATAAAGTATAAACTTTATTTGTTTTTTTTACAAACCTGTGCCGACTATAAGATTTATAGCTTCACTTGTTTTCCAAACTGTTTTCCATTGAAACCCATTTTGTCCTCTTTGGTCAGGATCTGGTAATTCTTGTCCACCCAAAGATACTTCATTCATATTAAACAGTTTAACTAAATATTAGAGGAAAAACAAAAAAGGGATTCAGTTGACAATTCGCTTGCAAATAATTACTTTTGTAAAAATGGCAATTTAATTTATCTAAATTAGATCGATTTGCAATAAACAATGCTTGCGATACAGATCATTGCATAACGAAAAAATGAAAGGCCAACTTATGGCATTATGCTAACGTGATACAATTGTTTTAAGGTTACGCGCATGAGCTAAAATGTACAGTTGGAATACTGTGACAATTGAAAACTTACAGAAACTTATAAAGTACGTACGTAACTCTGTTTTTTGTGGAATAATAACCCCAGGATATTATATTTATTTATACTTAGTTACCATAATAGGAGGATACTATTAATAGCGGTTCTTTTTGGATTAAATATCCGGATGCTCAAATTTATTACATTATATACCGCACATTATAAAATTACTAATAATGAATGATATTTTAAGGGTAGATTTGTAATATTAATATCTGACTTCTCACATGATAAAATACGTCATTAGTTCGTACGTAATTAAAATTTTACATAAAATGATATTAGATCAATTCAAATATCCTTTCTCTTTTAAACATACTACGAAAAAAAACGATCCATTCTTTTTATAAAAACGCGATTTTTATTTAACTTATAGAGATCCATCCAAAATTCATAAAATTGAATTTCAGATAACGTATAGACTTATTTACATAATCATTTACCCGTAGATACTTATCAAGATAAGTTAATTTCATTACTACTACTATCATAATTCCTGGAAAACCTCACAAAATTAGCCGAATAATTGTTCAGCCGATTCGATTAAGTGATTTCGGAATGATTGTTATATATATTACATAAATTGCAATTTAGATTACATTGTAATTTGAATCTACGTTTTAAACATACTAAGCATGACATTTATAATGCTAAAATTATCAGCAGAACAAGTATAACTTGTAACGTATGTTCTTTATATACTGGATCAGTATTATACTGTAGGTGCAGAAATATGATCTGTGACGGAACTTTTTTTTATGTCCCGATAGCCGTAACTTGAGATATGAACGATGCGTCAAAATGTCTTAAATTATATATGAGTGCTGCAGAGCGAAAAGCTGGAAGTGATATTTAAGTTTTCATCATGGCGAGTTTAGCCCATTTGGTCTTGAGAAATCTAATGTTACGTAATTAATCATGTATATAATCAGTGTCCTAGTCATTTAGTAAAATTTCGTACGAACGTATTGTTATTGCTACTGAACTATCAAAACATTATCAGTACGTAATATCTAAAATCTTCAGGTGCTAAATTCGCCGTTATGAGAACTTAAATATTCACATCCAGCTTTTCGCTCTGGAGCACTCATATGCCATAACATTTGACGACGTGTGTCGTAGCATTTAGCACATAACACTGAATATGTATTGTAACATTTGGTACGTTGTATATAGTTTTTATTGTTTAAATTCTTTTATGAGACTTTTTTTTTTAAAAAAAAACAATAAAAATTTGTTATTTTCGTACAATATAGTATTTTTTAAATTATGTCTATTGTTTTTTGGTTTATATAATTAAGTCATAGGTTTCTTTTTAGAGAAAATCTAAAAGTGCATCCATGAACTTAGTGAACCTTAATACTAGATATTATAATACTAGAATAGCGATAAGCATACTAGTAGTGTTAAAGTTAGAGTCAGGGGTAGGATAAAATTGCGAGAGGAGTATTTTTTAATAGGCGTACCGAAAGCTTGGTGCACTTTTTAACAAAATTCTTTCTAAATTTGCTATTATAATTACTGTAGTTGGATTTAACTTTTTTTTTTAATATTCATAGATGCAGTATATAAATATGCGAGAGTAGTTTTTCAAATCAATACTTCTAGACTATTCCATTCACAATCTATAAAAATGGGTCAATTATACACGATTAGAACTCATTGATGTTTATTCGAATAATTAGATTATCAAATATTTGCAGATGACTAATATTATTCGAGTAAGTACTATTAATATTTGATTATGTGAATCAATTAATGATTGAAGTTTTACATGATAAATTGTTTACTCAAATACTGGAATACGAATACAAAACTCTATGCATAATGACCGACTTTTTAGACTCCATGGCAATACAAAAGCACATAAATGATACACTGATAAAACTGGAAAAAAACTCAATGATCATGTGCAAATATGAAAAATTAATGATGCCCACCTATACTACTGTATAGAGTGGACTAAAACAGTGACATTAAATGACTTAAAAAATAGTTGTAAATGACTTTATATATATATAATTTAATGATGATCCAGATTTAACAACACTAGACTAAAATTTCTGGATACAAGCGAAACTCAGAAGTGCTAACTATACTTAATGATTTTCATATAAATATATTTAAAATATATAATACATTATAAAGGCCTTCAAAAATCAGAAGGGTATTACTATAGTAAGGGGAATTTTAATCCGCGCTATATGATGCTATACTTAGTGTTTGTAGTTTTATAGACTAGTCGAGTCAATAATTTTAATTGAGCTTAGCCGACTAATTTCCCACCACTTCTGATTGGACGCATTAAATATTGCTTTTGATTGGACGAAGCAATTCATGCCACCTTAAGACGTTGACACAAAAAAAAAATAATCATAATAATAAATACGGTAACTGCGCAACGCTGTCACGCGAAACCAGGAATGTAAGCTTACTGAATTATTCAAATAGACTATTTAGGGATAAATAAATTTTTACTAAACAGATAGGAATTTATATATATATCAGTTTTCTGTAAATTTATTATTTAATTAGTAGTTTTTTGTTTTTAATGTTGATTACATTTTACTTTGAAGGTTTACATTAGCATTGTTTTATTGAAATTGAATATTAAGTATGTATGAAATATGAAGTTTATTAAACAATGTCATTTTGATTATATTATTCATCAGGTCATCTTTCTAGCTTTGTCATTTGTTTTGTACATTTTTCTAGACATTTAATTTCTGTACTAAATGTAATTGATTCATTAATGGGTTTAAAATTAACAAATCATTTAATCTGAATATTCTAAAAAGCATAAGATATGTGCTATTATAAGTATTAGTATTTGATAGGTTGATTAAAGTTCAACTTGATATTTATAGTCAGTAAAAGCATAAGCTGAAGTTAAAGAAAGCTGAAATTGTTGAAATCAACATTGTGTTTTAGTTCCATCAATATATAGTCATACCTGAATTATATTTTACTAGGTTATATTCCAATCTGAGTTATATCACTATTTTTTAATAGAGTAAATTTTCTATATTAATTTTACTTGGTAGATATTTCATTTTATATTAATTTTAATTATATCTCTATTTTTGATAATAGCTATTATCAAAGAGTATAAAATAATATATATAATAAGGTAGCTGCATGACATAGTAATGCTAGAAACCAGGAACGAAAGCAAAATACACTCACTACATTCATTCCTGGTATTATAATATAGCAATTAATGAATCAATTGGAGTACATAAGTATTTATGGTTTAACTCAAAACATCGCAACAAATGAATATATTTGGTATTTGATGCATTTGGTTCAAAAAGAAATAAAGATAATGAAACATGCGCAAATTTAAGTCATATAACACATCTTATGCTTAGTGACAAACATGTGACCTTCAGAAAACAATACAAGGATGAGCAAGTAAAAATAAGGATATTGACAATTGCATTAAAGAATTTCAACTTAAAGCTATGAAATATGAAGATGTAATCGAATGGATTCCTTTTAGTGATGTGAACTATTCAAATCCGTATCCGTACAGATTGACTATATAGTTGTGTAGTTTAAATAGTTGATCGGCAAATTTGCTTAGATAATCTGTGTAGTTTTAATGGTTATCTGCAGTTAACTATAGTTCGAGTAGCAGCATATAGATTGTGCGAATTACACAAATAATGAGTTATTTCGGTCATGGATATAGATCCATCCTGGCCAATACTATGAAAACAGGTTGGAAGTTTATAATCAATAAGTTTATATTTTTCATTCGGCATAGTTTGTAGATTGTATAAGCTTTATTAATTGTAATAAATTTCTTATATGCATATAAAGATAACAATAAAATATGCAATAAGTGTTGTTATAATATTTGAATATACATGTTTTAGTCATAAAATGTAATATTTGTAACAAGTGTCGTTATATACATGTTTTTAGTCATAAAATGTAATATTTGAGTATTAAGTTTTCATGCTAACTAAATTTATGGGTGAATGCTATCCAAAATGTTGTAATTCCATTTAAGAAAATCAAATACTTGAAAAATTTAGGACTCATGCATGTCCTCTTGGGACTCATTAAATTACCACAATTTGAAAATAACCTTTCAGAGGGTGTTGAGTGGCCAAAACAGTGAGGTAAGCATGTGCTAGCTTGCTCATAACAGGAAACCTTTGTTCATTGTAGTTCCATCATGCTAATGGGTCTGATTCGAAAGTATCTGAGAAACTGTAAGATATTCATCTCACTTTGCGAATTTGTAGCTGGTAGGTTATTAAAGATGTTAAAAAGTGTTGGTTTGTAAAGAGAAGATACAGATTGAGTATTATGAATATTGAAGACAGCTGATTAAGTAGCTGATACTGAAGTTGGTAATGCTTTGGCCTCATGATATTTGGTTTTTAACAAGTCTTGAACCTGTCTTAATTTATGAGATGCAAAATCAAACTTTTTGACTTGTGGATCAAGAATGGAAGATAAATATGATTCATTATTATCTTTTTTTCAGTAATATAGCATTGCATTGTATAAAGTTTCTTTAACCTTTTCAAAGTTTCAAATGTTTGTATAGGCTTGTCTAGATTCTGTTTATTCTCATTATTATAAATCTCTGACTCCAAAAAAATGTCATTAATACTTTTGAAATTTATTTCTTTAGATAATGCTGATACAGGTTTGAGCTTATCAATAATATGTATTATTATAGGATTCATTATGCTATATGTAACATAA